AACCTCTCAAAAAAAAAAAAAAAAAAAGCTAGACATGCTTGTGGTATTTCCGTAACAGACTAATTTGAATTGCTTTTGTTTTTCAAGTGCATTCACATGCCCAAACATGTGCAGACATGCACGAGAGAAAGAGTCACAGAAAGGGAAAAAAGAAAGAGAAAGAAAGAAAGAAAGAGGAAGAGGAAGAAAGAAACAAGGAAGGAAGGAAGGAAGGAAGAAGAAAGAGAAAGGAAAGAAACAAAGAAGAAAGAAAAAGAAGGAAGGAAGGAAGAAACAAAGAAAGAGAAAGAAAAAAGAAAAAGAAGGAAAGAAAGAAGAGAAAGAAAGCACCCTCCAGTGGGCCCTGACCACGCCACAATCCTTTGTCCTCCGTTTCTCCACGCTGTCAGGATCCTGGGCCTGCCTGGAGTACTACAGCCGGCGCTGGGGCTCTGACCCTAGTCAGCTGTGTGAGCGCTGGCTTCCTGCGCTCAGCCTAACCCCTGCAGGTGGCGCCAGCCGCCCCCCACCCCCCTCCACTCAGGAGCAATCTGGGCTGTCTTAGAGTTGTTCGGGAATGTTTTTTCTTCCTTGCAGAAGGGGTTATTTTAGTCTTTTGGAGGAGAGAAGGATGGATTCATTTCTACATTCCACTTTCTAGGTTTATTTAGAACATGCGTGTCCCACCTGGTGCTTGCTTAGGAAGTAGCATAGTACATGCTTCGTTTAATAATATACTCCTTTTTTTAGCGGCCAGCAGGTGGCGTGGTGGTGAAGGGGTGCTGGACTCCTGCATGGCAACTGTGGTTCAAGTCCTGGACGTGGCAATTGGCTTTGTCACTGCCCTCACCCCTTTCTCTCTCTCTGTCTTCTGCTTTCTCTGTGGAGGTCTCCCCACTTCCCTATCAGCATTTTTCTGGTATTGGTGCCCAACTCACACATCACCTCTTTTGGGGAGTTGCTTGCCCATTCCCTTCTCAAGAGGAAGCAAATTCTGGGCCTCAGAGTACACCCCGCCCTTATCCCTGCACAGGGGCCGCAGGCCCTGCCCTGCCCACCAGGGGTCTTTGGAGAAGGGAATAAACACCACTGATACTCAGGGACGACGGCAGGGACAGTCCAGTGTAGGGATGAACACACTAGAACTGGCTCTGAGCTACCTGGAAGGCTTCCTGGGTGTGTAGACATTCCCACAACACCCGGCATGTTTGGCACTAGTGAACGCCAGAACCCACCATGGGGTGATGCTGGGGAGGTGAAGGACAGGCTAGCGAGGGGTCGGAGCAGGCTAGACTGGGAGCTTCCTCTGTGCAGTGGGATGAGGTGGAGGGTCAGAGGAAGACAGGCTGCAGGGGTTCTCAGAGCAGGTTTATGGTCACATATTAGAGAGTGAGCGGGACCAGCCCTGCAGAGCACGACATGCAGCGTGCTAGGAGCTGGACTTCATGTGGCTCACGTGCAGTTTGAATCCTGGCCACGGGAGCTGAGCTAGCACTCTGGGCGCATATGCGTGCGTGCCCAAAACCCCAGAGGAGGGAGCGATAGGGAAGGATTGTCGTGTGAGCACAGGGCTGGAGGCTGCTCCCTTCCTCCCTCTCTCTCTGGCGAGCATTCCTCTGACAACTAAAGGGCAAAACATTTTAAAGTGAATGTTTGACTTTGGTTAGAACATTATCCTCGGGAAGCCACTAAAAGTAGTTCTTTTCAGACATGGGAGGAATAGGAATGCTTAGTGTCTGGGCCCCAGCCGATGCCACTGTAAGGGAGAGAATTGCCTAGACTCCCTCAAGAGCCCCCTCCCTCCAGCTTCAGGACTGTCGGTGCTATCTCCAGCTCCCGCAGGTAACTGAGCGGGGTGGGGGGGGTCTGCATCAGAGCCCAGCTCGCCTCTCTCTTGCCCTGGTCAAGTCCTCCCCTACCTCGTGCAACTCTACCACCTGGAAAAAAGCAGCAGAGTGGGACTACATACTTTCGGGGGTGCTCTCCCTTTTTAAACATTTTGTCTTATGAGAGACGAAGAGAGAGAGAGACAGGGAAAGGGAGAGAGACAGAGGTAGGTATTTCTGATAGGCTCTTGATGGGTGGCCATCCTCTGTCCCAGCCTCTCCGTTAGCCAGGATGACAACCACGCCTGGCATGCTCGGGTTGGCCCGAGAACTGAAGCCAGGCCTCCCCTGTGGCTCTGTTTTCCGCTTCTACCCTGTGCCCCATGGCTGGGCCTCAGAGGCCCCTCTCGTTCTGCGGTGGCTGGAAGTGGGAACCTTTCTGTTATCTGCCTGGGTTTCTCCTAAGAGAATGAAGCTAGCAAGAGTGAACACTCAGTTATTCTCAGGGCAAGTCCCAGGGTTATGGGTGTTCTCCAGCCTTCCAAAGCAGGCAGGTGGGCGTGACAGAGAAGCTAAAAGGTAGGAGGTGTGATTCAAGCAAGCAGAAAGGCAGGCGAGAGGGCGGGGGAAGGCCGGATAGAAGAGAGTTAGGGACATGTGGGAAGACAGGGAACTAGGCAGACTGGTAGGGCAGATGGGAAGGGACGGAGGGAAAACGTATAGACAGAAACACTGAATAAAAAGAATGGCTTGCAGAAAGGAAGGACAGAAGGACCACCAAAGAGCAGGACAGACATAGGACAACAAAATGGCTAGACCAGACAGAAAATGGTAGAGTTAAATAGGAGCTCTATGGGCCGATAAATAAGAGACAAAGAGAAAAACAGGATGCTTGGCAGAAAGACAACTGGTCAACCACATGAGCACAGGGTAGACACAGAGACGAGCAGCTGCCAGGGGCCAAGGGCCAGGGGTCAGGAAGAAGCATGAACAGACCCCACAGGGGCAGACAGACAGACACACGGGCAGCCTTACCTCATTTGTTAGGGACTGGGGCCTGTTCTCAGGGTAGTCCCAGCCAGCCTCGCAAGGCTGCGTCTCGTTGTAGCGGCGGCTAAGGATGTCCTCCCAGGTGGCGTTGTTGGGGGGCGGCTGGAACATGAGGCAGGGCTCGGGGCTGCCTGCAGCATCCAGAGGCACGCTGAGTGCCAGCTGCTCCGCGCTGCTCAGGTTGAAGGTGTGGTTCTTGACCCAGGCCACTGAGCAGTAATGGGGTTCATCCAGCACCATAAAGACTTGGGCAAAAAAGTAGAAGCCAGACAGGAAGTTGGGGATACTCAGGAGGATCATCAGCCGCACTTGGAAGCGGCCGAACTCGCCTATTTCAGCCAGAACCTGGGCAAACTGAGCCATGTCTGCTGGTTGCCACCTCCTCAGTCTCAGAACACAAGGAGCTCTGCAGCTTGGCTCAGCACTGGCTCTTCTGGGCAGCGGAGACAGTCCTATTAATGTTTAATCCAGCCTTGCCCAGATCCACCTGTGGCACCTGGGCCCTCTAGCTGTGGCCTGGGAAGGCAGACTATGATGGAGAGAACGGTCCACTCTGGCTTGTCGCACCTGAGAATGTTTTATTGACTGTATGAGGGCATCGTAAGAGCAACCGAGAGGACGAAAGTCCTCGGGCCCAGCACCCAGGAGTGAGCTCCAGCCAAAGGCTGCAGTGTCCAGCAGCCAACCCCCACCTGCTTCCAACTGCACCGGCCTCTGCAAGTCACACCCAACTCGAATGTCCCCATTCCTAGCAAAAGCAAATGCTGAGTAGTTGCGACACTCAGAGGGACACAAAGTGCCTTCTGGGGACCAGCCCACACTAGGCCGTGGGACAGGTCAAGGACCCAGCCTGCATATCAGCAGTGCCAGCAGCCTGCTGTGGCCGCTAGACCCCGACGGTCTCCTCCCATGATGGCTACGGGGCTGGTCCTACTTCTTCCTCCCTGCCTGACCCCTCATCCTGGAAAGATGTCCATCCCAGTGTTGGGCTCAAACTGCTGTTGATCCTGTGGGATCCAACCCCCTTAACCACTAGGCTACAGGGCCAGGCCTACTTCTTCCTCCTAACTCTGTATGCGGTGGCGTGCGACCCAGCTGCAGGGGGAGCACGCAGGCAGAGACCCGCCCAAGGCACACGCGCCCTTCTTTTTCAGCACCCAAGTCAATGCAGAGCGATTCCGAGTTACAGCCTGAGCTCTGCTCTAATCGAGGAGACACCAGTCACACATTCTCGAGATAAAAACGAATGTGAACCGCCCGGGGTAGCCCCAGCTCCCTAACAATCTGTGATAACAGAGGAACACAGGCCAAAGTCTCTCTACCACGGCTTCCCCACATAGCCACGGTGTGAGCCCACATACACACAGGCAGACGCACCTGCTTGCACACGGGTAGACAAGCATTTTCATGTTCTGAATCTTGAACCGTTTTAAGAGATGGGCAGAGGGATGCGGCTGGGGAAGCGAGGTTGTGCGGGCCGCCCTGGATGCAGCGTCCTATCTGTCCCGCTGGTTGGCACAGCGGCGGGCAGCCTGTAGTCAGTCCGCGTGTGAAGTCGGGCAGAGTGGAGGGCAGAGGCAAGACCGCTGCGTTGTTGTAACCCTCCCAGACTCCATCACCAGGTTCACCACTGTCCCTGGCTCCTTTTCTTTTTCCCAATCTGGCTTCCTCGAATGTTATTCTCAGCATCACCTTCATGGCATTGCCGAGAAAGCGGTCACTGCAGGCTGGGCCTGTATCGAGGAGGTAAGCGCTGCGCACATGCCCAGCCAAGTTTGAATCCCAGCCCCAGGCTTGAGAAACACGCCAGGCATGTGTATGTGTGCGGCAAAAATCCTGATGGGATAAAGAAATGGAAGAGAGGAGACTGCGGTGTGATCGCACCCGGTAGGGGCGGGGGTGCTTTCTCTCTCTCTTTCTCTCTCTCTTATGCACATGCCCTCTAGCTATGAAGAAAAAAAGAAAGAGAGAGGAAAAAGAATTAAAGAAGAGAGAGAAAGAAAAAGAAAGGATGAAGAAAGAAAGAAGAAAAAAGGAAGAAAGGAAGGAAGAAGAAAGAGGAAAGAAAGAAGGATGAAAGAAAAAGAAGAAAGGAAGGAAGGAAGGAAGGAAGGAAGGAAGGAAGAGAAAGGAAAAGAAATGAAACAAAACGAAAAGAAAAAGAAAAGAAAAAGAAAAGAAAAGGGGGGGGGAGAAAATGAAGGAAGGAAAGAGAGAAACCACTGCATTGCCTCTGCCCAGTCTGGAGGTCCCTCGTGCGGGAGAACCGAGGTGGAGACGAGCCTTGTCCTCAGCCCCTGCCCCTTCCTCATTCCAGTCAGGGACAATGTTTTTGCTTTATTTGCCTCCAGTAGCCACAGGAGCTGGAACTGGGAGGTAGGAAGCTTGGGCTCTGCTCCCAATTCATCTTGAATCTGTCCCCTAACCCCCGCTGGGCCTCAGTCTCCCCATCTGTGTGAAGGAAAAGGATTAAGCTAAATGGTCTCTGTTTCTTCTTGTGTGATTCTAAAATAGAGAAAGAACTGTTAGAAGACTCTGGGCAGAGGAGAGAGAGAGAGATGATCAAAGACCGACCTAGAGTCACTCTCCAGTTGGAACTGTGATCCCCCAAATCTGGGTACTGAGGTACTGATTGTCACTGGTCTCACTCCCTCTGTATACCCTGAGCCCTAATTTTTTGGTTTACTTTTTTTTTTTAATTGCCATAGATTGTATGTGCTCCCTGAGAGAAAGAGACAGAGAGAGGAGAGAGACGGAGAGGGACAGAGAATGCGCTCCCCAGTGGGGTATGGTCATGCCGCAATCCCTTCTCCTCCATTTCTCTGTGCTGTTGGGATTTCAGCACACATGCACCCAGTATGTTTTTCAAGGCCCTGAGCCCTGGACTCGAACTGCTGTTGGCCATGCGAGCTCCAATCCCCTTACCCTCTAGGTTCCGGGGCCAACCCTACTTCTTCCTCCTCTTAACTTTGACCTTCACATCCCGCCCCTCACCCTGGCAAGATTTCCAAAAGGCTCTCCATGATGCTCCAGGTCCACAAGATCTTCTTTTTGAGAAGATCGTCCCAGGATCCCTCCTCTCCAAGGACCTCTCTCTCCTCTGCTGTCTCACTGGCCTGGGGGCTTGAGCCCAACACCAGGATCCATACTCGTCCCTTAACTTCCAACGCCGTCGAGTCATTCCCACCATCCTGAGCACCTGCCAGCTGAGACTAGGGTTGCCTCTGGCCCTTCAGGGAGCTCCAGCAAGCTTGTCTTCTTCCTCTTCTTCCCCTTGTGCCCTTCCTCCATTTACAGGTAGAACTAAGATCAAAAGGGGAGAGAGAGTAACAAGAGTTTTCTGATCTTCCAGAGCAGTTGCAAGAGGAATGCACTTACTTTCCCTATAGAAAGTGCCAAGCAGATTACTGGCAATCGCCCGTCTAAGTGGAGAAAGGTTTATGTGTAGGGTGGGAGAAGAGGGAGGGTGTCTATAACATCCTGTAAAAAGAAAAACTTCTTAAAAATTAAATTTAGCAGAGTTTATTTGAACTAAGAAAGAACTCACCAATCAGGTAGGACCCTGAATCAGTAAAGCTTAGAGAGGTCCACTCAGCCATGTTCTGCCAGTGTTGACAGACAGAAAAAGGAAGTGACACAGACATGGCCCGATCACTTAGGGCTCATTACTTGCCAGACTTGAACATGTTTTGAAAGGCTTCAGCATGTGACTAGCCGAGACTCCATTACTCATTATAAGAATATACTCTAGTTAGTTGGCTGTTTGTTTATATATTAATTTAGGTAACAGTTCTCTGTGCATGGGGAGTTTTAGGCCAAATTGCATTGAATTTAACTTACCATTTTCCTCCTTGGGGTCAGCTTCTCACCTCTGAAAGATCAACTAAAACCTTGGGCACTAACCCCACTTTCTGTCACCAAAGGAATACACTGGTCAGTCTCAGTATGGAATATACAAGGCACGATATCAAATTAGTTAGATGACTCTTTTTTTAATTTAACTTTATTTATTGTTATTATTTTCCAGTTTGACCAGAGAGAGAGAGAAAGGGAAAGTGAGAAAGCAAGCCACCAGGTCTTGGACTTGAACCGTGGCTGGCCAAATGAGAGTCCAGTGCCTTAACCATCACGCCACCTGCCGGCCCCTTAGATGATTCTTCATGCTCTAAATTTTTTGCTATCTGAATTACAGTGAGACCATTGTATGTACAGAGCGTGGCCTGCCTATGAGCATGTAAGACTCTTGAGGAAGTATTTTTATGATGGCTCTCAGGTTAATCCTGAGAACTTGAAGTACACTTCTTAGCAGGAGTCTCCGTGAGCTGAACTGATCAAAATCAAACACTTCAAAGTTCAGGCAATAAAGAAAGTTCAACAGTAACAGAGTCAACTGGTCAGTCTTTGTTCAGGGCGTTATGGTGATTAAGAACCACCATTTGCTATAAAATGGCTAGATTGAAAGAGCCCTCATTTGTGCAGTCAGCCTGCAAATGCAAGTCACAGTACCGTAGAATGCTACTGAGAGAAGCCAATAGTAGAAAACCTTGGAACCCTGCACATTGCCACCCACCATTCGGGATCCTGTGACCCAACTGTTAACTCTTCCCATAACACATCATGTTTAAGAAATTTCCATAATGGTGGTGTCTAAACAGTACCGTCAGCCACCTTTTGATTTTTATTTATTTTTAATTGCCAGATGGTGTGCACGCTCACCAGAGAGAGACAGAGAGAGAAGAAAGAGAAATCGTCCACCATGGGGGGTCGTCACATCGCAATCCCTTTTCCTTCGTGTCTCCTTCCTGGCGGGATTCTGCATATACACACAGCTGCCCAGCATGCTTTTCAAGGATTCAAACCACAGTTGACCATGTGGAAACGGGCTCTCTTAACCACTAGGCAAGGGGGCTGGCCCTGGCCATCTCTCATTCAGCTTTCTGTAGGACTAAAATCAGGCAAATGCAAATGCAACATTCAGGTGTTTTTTTTTTTTTTCTTTCTTTCTTTCTTTTTTTTGGGAGAGGTTTTTGCTATAGGCTGCATGCACTCACCAGACAGACAGAGACAGACACACAGAGAGAGAAAGCGAGAAATCAACCCCCAGGGGAGAGGGCCACGCCACAATCCCTTCTCCTCCATTCTCCTCTTGGGATCTTGGGCATGTACACACACGCGCCAAGCGCCCGGCATGAGTTTAAGCCACTGGGTCCAGGACTCGAACCGCAGTCAACTACATGGGAGTCCAGTGACATAGCCATTACGCTAACTGCTGGTCCCAACATTCAGTTTTGATCAGCACCATAGACAAGCCCCCCGCATGGGCAAAGAGATCTAGAGCTATGATGTGTCATTAAGTATTCTTGGTTAAACATGAATCTTATCATCCACCTTTCAGATGGTGACTTCTACCTGCCCAAACTCCAGGGAGGTCTGATTGGCTACAAATCCAAGATTTTCCCCAATTCTAGGTTAACTTCTAATTCCATACAACTGCCCCACTACTGCCAAGAACGAGCCCCGAGGAACTCCACTGGAAACTTTCGTCAATGGAAATTTATTTATCTTCATCTAGTTCAAGGTTGTTACTAATTTTGGTTATTGACTGCTTTGGTCTCTGATTATGGTAGGTTTTATTGGAGGCCACCCTGTGTGATGATGGCCCAGATCTGCAGAACACCTCGAGT